CTCCACAGCCACAGGCATCTTTCTAGTTTTGTCAAGAGCATACATATGTTGTAAATAATATAACCATGTGAGTGGCCACACACATCTGTAGCACCAAGGAAGCAGAAAGAGTTACTTTGCAAGTTCAACACCAGCCAGGACATAACATACCTACCTTCTCAAACACCAAGAAAATATATTATCAAGTTTTCAACTACTTTTATTTGAGGTACTACAAATTCAACTTAGGGCCTTCTTCAAATACCAAATAAGCATTCTATATCACCTACCTTTCTGGGGGTGGGAGTGGGGAGCTTCTAGGCAGGTTTCTTTGTAACCCTGGCTGTCCGAGTACTCACTCTGTAGACCAGGCTGGCCTCTGCCTCCTGAATGTTGAGATTAAAGGTGTGTGTCACCAGGATCTTTTTACTTTTTACTTTCAGATAGGGCTAAAAACTTCTCTATAAAGCTCCAAGTCGTTGGAATTATGAGCCTATGAGAGCAGACTCTTCCATGTCAAAAGCGTACTGTAATTTAAAAAATTTCAATATAATAGTGTTTATAATTAGGAAATTACCAAATCATCTAATCAGATGTATTTCAGAAATGTATTTATTCTAATGTTTGGCTCACTTTTCTGGTAAGCATTGGTTCACAAAATACAGCACAGAAGAAACTTGAAGATGTTTTTACAATTTACTTATGCTATTGCTCCCCACAATATATAAAGTTAGCCCACTTACAGACTATAGATTGTGCCCTGATATCCAATGAGCCATCCTCAAAAAAACAATTTAAAAAAGGTTATCTGGCAAAATACAAACATCCCTGATTATTTCAGTTCAAGCACAGGAAACTAAACATCTTTGTTATTTCTAAACTACAAAATAATTTTTACATACTGAATTGTGCTTATTTTCAACCCTCCAATTCCAATACAGCTGGGGACTATGAGACACCTTTTCTGTACATTATCACCTAGAAAGCCAAAGGCCACTAGGATAATCAAATACCTTAGACCAGACTTTAAAAATAAATCCTACTTAGAATCACCTAAGACACAAGCAAGATTCTACTTCGTTACAACAGATGCAATTCACATGAACACAACCTTTAAAGAACTGACCATGGCTCTCTAGTCTTCTCCACATTCTTCTGACATCTGCAAATACAAAAACCACCTGGTTCTAGATATAAACTTTGACTTCCCTATCCATAAAAACATGTGCATTACTAGGAAAACTACTTGGTTGTAGTTTACTATGAATAGTTGTGAGAAGCCAAATTGTTTAAGACTGGGTTATGACTTCAGGGCAGGGGAAAAAAAACACAACTTCTTGAAAAGGTAAAATAGCTTAAAGCATTTAATATCTAAACAAATCAATCTGTTAATATTAGTAGTCACAAAATATGCTTAATATAGAAACCCACATTTATGTTTTAAGAAATTGTAAATTGCATTTCATCTCAAAACATAAATTAACCTGCTTAAGAATCAGCAGCAGTCAAAATCATGGCGAATTTTAAACAACTCCAGAGTAAAATAACAATAAGTACTTTATACTGCTTTGTATCTTAAAAAAAAAAGTTTACAACTTATCATGAAAATAGTTTGAGACAACCACTCTTATTCTTTAACAGATGTTCAACATTATGAGCAACATTCTTAAAACTTTGTTTCATAGATTTTTCACATATTCAAATACTGTGGTCCCCTTTCCTTTGATGGGATTTAGTCAAGTTAGAGGAAAACAAAAAAGCATGGTAGACAAGTTAATACATTTCCACCAAATCGGAAGTAATACAAAAATTTAAAGATTCTACAGAACTATACATCGTACCTAATGCGTCATTAAAAATAGAAGACAATATTTTCTTCAGCAAATAAAACAGCACACTGGTATGCTGTCAATGTATACCTTTTAATAGGTACTGTCATTCATAAATCATTTACAACTTCTACTTTAATGAAGAGAACTAGAATTTAATTTTCTGCAAAACTGGAAAAAAGCAATACAAAATCTGTGAAAGCCAGTGTTTTATATTATATAAAAGCCAGTTTTTCTCTTCCAACAGCAGATCCTGGATGAAGCGGTAACGTGGAGACATTACAGTAACTCTTGAGGATGTTTCAAGGCTGGAGGTAAGTTCACAGGTCTCGACTCTTCATCAAGGAGCACTAGATCCTCCACCTCACTGCCTCTGTACTTCCTTTTGCATATCTTTACCACCACCTTCTTCTTGAGAAACAATTTCAGTGCTTCTCTCGATGCTACTGCCTTTGCATTCTCTTTGCTCTTTCCACAGCCAGTGCCCAAATACACTGACTTACACCTCAACTCACAAACAATACTTTCTTGAGAGCTCTTATTTTGAGGCAGATCTGCCAGTTCTTTCAATGGGACAAAAAACACATCCAGTGTTGCTTTCAGAGCTTCAATCGCTGCATTCAGCAGCTCTCCATGATTCACATTGGGGCTAAAGCCACCAACAGCTACCAACTTCCAGGCCACTGTTTTATACAGTCTGTTGAAGAAAGGTTGCTTCTGTTTTACATCTTCATTGGTTAACTTCCGACAAGAGAATTTGACAGAACTCTCACTGGCCTGTGAGGTACTTTTAGAAGGCAACTGTGAAGTGCTACTCTGAGAGCTACTCTTAGAAGCTAGCTGAGACATGCTTGCTAAGGAAGCACTTTTGGAAGCTACAGAACCACTGCTCTGGGAGCTGCTTTTGGAAGCTAACAGTGATGCAGCTACCTGAGACGTGCTTTTGGAAGTCAGTAGGGAAGAATTGGTTGAACTGCTCTTGGGAGTTAGTAAAGAGGTGCCTGATGCAGAACTGTTTTTAGGAACTGAGGATGACACATTTGCCTCTGAACTAGTTTTGGATGTTAACCCACTTGAAGCTGTCTCTGGACTAGACTTAGAAGACAGTAATGGCAACTCTACTTCTGAACTTCCAGAGGAACCCAACAAGGGCACCTCAATCTCTGAGCTGCTCTGAGAAGCTAAGACTGAGGAACCTTCCAAAACACTCTTTTTAGGTGATCCACTCTGCTGTCTGGAATCAGTGGATTGGGTCACATGACTATTCATACTGGATTTCAACAACGAAGAAACAAACGATGCTGAGCCATGTTTATCTGGAGCTTCTGGGTCAGAAGCTTTTCCAGCCCCTGCTGTTGTTACCTGAGAGGAATTGCTGCTGCTTTGGCTGCACACAGATCTATCTCCTTCACTGGTGGAGCCACTCTGATTAGAGACACCAGAGCTGCTCCTAGCTGAGGCCCCACTACTCTCTGACTTGGTGGATGACCCAGTGGATGCTGAACTGCTTTCCTGCTGAGCCGAGGAACGATCTGTTTTGGCAGATTTCTTTCCATGATCTCGCTCAACTGAAGAATTGTTTTTTCCTTCTATGACTCGTTTTTTGGATGGCTCTTCTATCCCTTCTAGAAAGAAGAAAAACACAGGTATTTCACTAGGAGACCCACATACATCAACATTAAGAAAGCACAAAGACAGCTGGTGGTGCACGACTTTACTTCCAGCACTGGGGAGGCAGAGGCAGGAGGATCTGTGAGTTTGAGGCCAGCCTGGTCTACAGAGCAAGTTCCAGGACAGCCTCCAAAGCTACAGAGAAACCCTGTTTCGGCAGTGGTGGTGCACACCTGTAATCCCAGCACTGGGGAGGCAGAGCCAGTTGAATCTCTGAGTTTGAGACCATCGTGGTCTAAAGTTGAGTTCCAGGACAGCCAGGGCTGTTACATAGAGAAATCCCATCTTTTTTTTTCTCCTTCAAGACAGGGCTTCTGTTTAGCTTTGGAGCCTGTCCTGGAACTCACTCTGTAGATTAGGCTGGCTTTGAACTCACAGAGATCCGCCTGCCTCTGCCTCCCCAGTGCTGGAATTAAAGGTATGCGCCACCACTGCCGGGATAGAAACCAAAATAAATAAATAAATAAAACAAAAATAAAAGGACAAAAAGAAAAACATTTCGGGACTAGTAGTTTCTTTTAAAATATGGAATAACTTCATGAGTATCTTAAAACAGCATTAACATGATTAATTTCTAATATTAAGTTAACAGCATCAGACATTGAACTTCGAAATCTAAAGCAGTCAAAGGAAACTAACAAATTCAACAGTGAAAACAAGACAGACACACATTTTAGCTTTATCATGACAATTAGATTAATACATCACACAAATTCTGGCTTGTTAAAAATTAGTAACGACAGCAATCCCTAACGATAGCAAGCTTATTTTCTAAACTCCTAAGTATGGTCACATCTATGATCTGCTAACCATTGCTACTCGATATCCCTCTTTTCTTCACCTTGGCAACCAGTTCGTCTCGTGTGGTATGGATGGGAGCATCTGTCACTTTGATGCCTTCAGCCATACTAAGAATTTTATCCATAACCTTTTGAGGGTACCTGAAAAAGAGAAGCAAAAGAAAAAAAAAAGTCGCTTTCAAGGAGTGTTTGTCGACACGCCCGGTGGCGGCGTTGGAGGTGCGGGGGGGGGGGGGGCGGGGCCGGGGAAAAAGCGTTTCCCGGCGGCAGTCAAACGGTACCAGCCGCGCGCGGGGACAACTCTGTCCCCTGAGATGCCGCCAGAGCCCGTGGGGCTCGGGGAGGCAGGTCTGCGCTCGGCAACGCTTAAAACGGAGGGCTGCCCCCGGGGATCGTCGCCCACCCCAGCACCCCGGGCCCCCGACGGCTGACCCCGCGGATCGTCACCCACCCCAGCCGCCGGGCTCACCCCAGCACCCCGGGCCCCGCCAACGGTCAGTTCGGCGCCGCCGGGGACAGCGCCCCCCGCTTCCCGCGCCGCCCCGGTTCCCCGCGAGCGAGCGCTCGTCGGGCAGCCGCAGGGGGCGCGGGGGCGAGCCGCCGCCGGCTCACTCACCGGCACCCTAGGAAGACGTGGTTGGCCCAGGCCATGGAGAAGGAGACGAGCTGCTGGAGTTGCCGGTGGCGGCTCCCACTCTCCGCGTCGGCCGCAGCTTCCCCGGGCGTGGCGGGGACCAGGTCCCCGGCATTGCGGAGCAGGAACTCGCGGCGGTGGCGCCAGTGTTTGTCCGTCTCGCCCTCGCAGCGCAGCGTCTCCACCCAGGCGGCCACTCGCGGGTTCTGGCTCAGGTACTCCGACACCTCCTGCGCCATGTTGGGCCTGCCTGCGGGGCGAGGCGAGCGCCGAGGGCGAGCGCACGGAGCCAAGGGCGGCCGAGTGGCGGCGGGGGGGAGGGCGGGCGGCCCTGTCAGCGCGGCCTGCACCGGCGGCTCGCCCGGAGAACGCCCCTCCGGCAGCCCCGAAACCCCAAACAACAGCGCCGACGAACCGCCCACTTCCGGCGGACGCGGGCCCGCTCCCTTTTTATAACCTCGTCGCCGCCGCGCGCTCACGCGCCCTTCCGGCGCGGGCCCGTCCTCCCAGGATGCCTTGCGGCGCCGCGACGCGCGCGACTCAGCGGTTGCGCCCACCTCAGGGAGAGGGCGCGCCGGGCCGGCCGAGGCGGGGCTGGAGGCGACTGAGGGGAAGCCTCCCGCCACCCTGAGAGGGCGCGCGGCGCCTGGCGCGGCGGCCTCGGCGTTCCGGCGGCGCTTTGTGACGCCGCGCTCTGAGTCCGCGCGGGGCGGGGCGGCAGTGGGCGGGGCGTCGTGGCCCCGCCCTTCAGACGCTCGCCCGGCGCGCGCGGCCAAAATAAACAAAAGCTGGCGGGGCTGCTGCGTGCGGGGGAAACCGGACCCAGGGTTCCGAGGCCCGGGTGGGCCGAGCCTCGGGGCGTGCGGGGACGCGGGGATGCCTGCGGGGTCGGGACCTTAGGAAATAACAAGCCGGTGTGTGACTTTCCAAAGCCACCAGCCCAAGCGCCTCCTCGAGCGGTCTTTGAAGCCGGGCCTTGCGCTTGCGCCGCAGGCTCTGGGCTTGGTTTCCGCGGTTTCCCAGGTTCCGGGGTCCACCCAGACAATACCCGCTTCCTTTAACGTTTTTTGATCCAGAAACTGCAAATAACCCCGTGCCAACAGGTCCTGTGGCTGCATTCTTTGTGGAAATGAATTGTTAACGCCAGTTGGGCGTCCGCCCGGCCTCCCTCCGGGCAACCGTGCTTTTGCGTTTTTTTCTAATTTATGAGTGTGGATGTTTTGCTTGCATGTATTATGACTGTTCATCTTGTGCGTGCCTGATGCCCTTGGAGGCAAGAGGGCAATGGAGGTCCTGGAGCTGAAGGGACAGGAGATTTAGAGTGCTGTGTGGGTGTTAGGAATCGAACCCAGTCTATTAGAGCAGCCCATACCACTGAGCCATTTCTCCAGCCCGTGGGTTTTGTTTTGTTAGATGGTCACAGTTGAAAGTACCTACAATTCTGGCCTGTAACTATTTCCATGTCCAGATATCTGTCTAATATTAACGAAAGCAAAGATGAGTGTAATATGTAATAGTGATAAATTATGAAATTGAACGTTCCTTCACTAGATATTTGCGTTTTGTTGTGAAAATGCTTGTCAGAATAATCAAGCAAAATGAAGTAATTTTGTTTTGAAACTTGGGTAGCCATGAGTCTGTGCACCAACAGTGTTCAGCCCCATTAAGTAAAAAAGCCAAATTGTGATGGGAAGCAGGAAATGACTTTCAGGGTGGTCACTTTGGAAAGAGGGACAAAGAGCCCCAGTGACACCCACCCCACCCCCAAGTGGGTCTTTGGAGCCATGAAATGAGATTCAGGTTTAAAATAGAAACCCAAGGATGTGCACATTTAAAATATATGCATTTAAACAGCGGTCAAGGTGTGGCCCTGCCCATTATTGAGTTTCATCCGGTGAGGTGGTTGGGGCCATTTAAGGAAGATAAAGCCTCCCTCTAGCTGGATTCTTTTTCTTCTCCATAAGAGTCTGGGGGGAAAATTCTACTTTCTTAGGAGTCCATTGTTTCAATAGTCTAATAGAGTGAGAATCAAGAACCTCTTAAAAATACCTTAGTTTTGGCCTGACTTGGTGTCCCATGCCTTTAATCCCAGCACTGGGGAGGCAGAGGCAGGGGGATCTTCATGAGTTTGAGGCCAGCCTGCTCTACAGAGGAAGTTTGAGGACAGCAGGGCTACACAGGGAAGTCCTGTCTTGAAAAATAAATAACAGGCAGAAAGAAAGGAAAGCCAAAAAATCAGCAACCAACCAAAACCTTTTTACCAGACCAGTTACAATTTTAGCTAACATCTGATAAGCAGCAAAAACATTATATTACGGTTGGTGGGGCAAGCCTTTAATCCCAGCTCTTTCCAGGCAGAGGCAGGTAGATATCTGGGTTCAAGGCTATCCTGGTTTATGTAGGACAGTCAGGGCTACATAGAGAAATCCTGAAAACAAACAAGCAAAACACCATTTATATACATGCTGCAGCTGTAAAAAATCACCTGTTTCATGAAAACAACCTTGTCTTCCCAGCCATACTGGAATAAACTACAACAGGGCAAAAAGAAAAATTGAAGCTTCAATTTTGCTATCCCATCCCCTTTACAGTTAAATCCTGAAAACTGAAGACTGTAGAAACTTTATAGTTCAGAAACCTTATGAATTCTTTGGCAAAGAAAACACTGATTTCATAGCTAAATGACACTGATAAATTTTTGAAACAAAACATTTTTCTTTGGCCGCTCTGTGTCCTCCAACTGACTTCAAGGCCCTGATAGGGAAACAAATAGTTCTAAAATTTTAACGGCGAAGTTTTTCTCTTTGGTGACAATCTTGCTGTCTAGTCAATGGCCAGAAAGTGATGATCTTTCTGACTCAGCCACTTGGGTTTACCCGTCTCAGATTTCATGCATGTACCTTCTTAGTTGGCTTCATTCTCACAGTTACAGTAAAAGCAAAAATATTCTGAAAACTAAAGTATTTGCAAAAGTCCAATACATAAAGGAAAGACGTATGTATTTTTGCTTTGGATTTTTTTGTTTGCTCGTTTTTGTTTTTGTTTTTGAGATATTGTTTCTCTGTGTAGCTTTGACTGTCCTGAAATTTGTTCTGTAGACCAGCCTGGCCTCAAACTCAGTAATCTGCCTGCCTCTGCCTCCTGGGTGCTGGGACCACTGCCTCCAGAATTTATTTTGGATTCTTTTTTTTTTTTTCCTTTTCTTTTTGGTTTTTTGAGACAGGGTTTCCCTGTACTGTTTTGGAGGCTGTCCTGGAACTCGCTCTGTAGACCAGGCTGGCCTCGAACTCACAGAGATCCGCCTGCCTCTGCCTCCTGAGTGCTGAGATTAAAGGCGTGCACCACCAACGCCAGCTATTTTGGATTCTTAAAAGGTTCAGTTTAAGACTAGTGGATAGCTCAGTGGATAAAAGCACTGTCCTCCAAGCTCTACCCCCTGAGTCCCACAAGAGGAGCAGAGAGAAGCAATATCTATGTGTCCTCTGTGGTGGTTTCAAAGAAAATGGCCCCCAAAGGGAGTAGCATTATTAGGAGGTGTGGCCTCGTTGGAGTAGGTGTGGCCTTGTTGGTGGACATGCATCGCTGTGGAAGCAGGCTTTGAGGTCTTATTTATGCTCAAGCCACGCCCAGTGTTTCAGTTCTCTTCCTGTTGCCTTTGGATCAGTACATAAGAACTCTCAGCTCCAGCGCCATGTCTGACTGCATGCTGCCTTGCTTCCCACCATGCCAATGGTGGACTAAACCTCTGAAATGTCAGCAAGCCACCTCTGTTAAATGTTTCCTGTATAAGAGTTGCCATGGCCATGGCGTATCTTCACAGCAATAGAAGCCCTAACTAAGACAGCCCCTGATACCCATGCGTGCCCTCCCGTGCATACACATACACACTAAATAATGTAGTTTTTTCATACAATATAGTCTGATTATAGCCCCCATGATGTAATTTTTTGATATGAAGATTCAAGGCATAGGCCATAGACCACAAAATTGAGAATAACATACATTAAATAAAAAAAAACCCTCAAGACTGTTATGATTTAAATGTGAAATGTTCTCTACAAGCCCCTGTGTCTGAACAATCGGTCCCTAGTTGGCTACACTATTTGAAGGTGTGGAACCTTTAAGAGGAGACGAGACCTGGGCAATCACTGGGCATCGGGCCTTGAGCATTATAGTCTGACTGGGCTTCCAGATGGTCTCCCAGCTTCCTGTTCTGCTAGGAGTTAAAGGAGTCCTGGCTGCACAATTGTGTCTCCACAGAGCTGCCTGCTGCCATGTTTCCCCTTCCGTGAGGGTCTCTATTCCCTGTCCATGAGCCAGTCTGTATAGTCCTTAAATTGTGTTTTTCAGATGTCTGTCAGAGTGGGGAGAAAAGCAACTATTTCAGATGGGTGTGTAGCTCAGTCATAGAACACAGTGTGAGCATCCCCTAAAGTAGCAAGGGCTGGCCCTTAGGAGAAGTGAGCAGAGAAGAGGGCCCCTGTGTCAGAACCTACCAACAATGGTTTCTTTTCGCACTCATGTTCACCTCACACAGATACATATTCCCATATCCGGAGAGACTGAGTGTGTATGTATGTGTGTCCATGTGTGCAAGTACGTGCACATACAGGTATCGTAGGGCCTAGAGAAAATCGTGGAACTTTTCCACTTGCTACTTGAACTAACTGAATGGTGAAGTGCCTGCCAGCTAGGAAGAGCCCTCAACTTATCCTCACCTGGACAGAGATTGTGCTACTTGGACTGGGAGGTCGGGCGGTGTCGTCATCAGCAGAGCACAGAGACAATGCCCGCCACACCTAAGGCTGCCCTAGAAACCTCAGCAGAACCAAAAGGAGGGAGAAACCACCAAGGAATATTCACCCCCACACCTCCCATAGCTGAGTTCAAATGCTAGTCATGGAGTCCTCTCCATTTCACAGGATTAGACTTCCTGCTATCACTGGAAGTGCATCCATTGCAACTGCTCTTGGATCCTGTTTTAAAGGGATCTGTTAAAAGCCCCAGCATCAAGCAAGCCAGGTTTTCTGCAGGTGGCACCCCATGGAGCAACATAAAGGGAAGAGCTTCTGTTTCTGCACGTGACTATGGAAGCCACAAAGGTGTGCAGACCTGCATATCGACTGAAGAACAAACTCTCCAGCGGGGGTCACGGCTGAAGTTCTGGGTTAGTTTGAAAAACACTTCACAGTGATGTCACAACTTGTACAGATCA